CTCTAAAGACTCCACCAAAAAACTGTTAGAACTAATAAAATATTCAGTAATGATACAGGATGCAAATTCAATATAAAAAAATCTGTTCCTTTTTTATATACTAACAATGAACTGTCAAAAAGAGAAATTAAGAAAACAATTCCATTTACAATTCCATTAAAAGAATAAAATACCTAGGAATAAACTTAACCAAGGAGATAAAAGACCTGTACACTGAAAACTGTAAGAGGTTGATGAAAAAAACTGAAGAAGACACAAATAAATGGTAAGCTATTCAATGATCATGAATTGGAAGAACTAATATTATTAAAATATCCATATTACCCAAAGCAATCTACATTCAATACAATCCGTATCAAAACTTCCATGACATTTTTCACGGAAATAAACAATTCTAAATGCTTATGGAACCCAATAAAACAGCAGTTCTCAACCTTCCTAATGCCGCGACCCCTTAATACAGTTCCTCATGTTGTGGTGACCCCCAACCATAAAATTATTTTTGTTTCTACTCTATAACTGTAATTTTGCTACTGTTATGAATCGTAATGTAAATATCTTTTTGTTTTCCGATGGTCTTAGGCGACCCCTGTGAAAGGATTGTTCGACCCCCAAAGGGATCGCAACCCACAGGTTGAGAACCGCTGCAATAAAAGATCTTGAACAGCTAAAGCAACCTTAAGAAGAGCAAAGTGGGGGCTGGCCAAGTGGCTCAGTTAGTTAAGAGTTAGCTTAAGAGCACAAGCTCTGTGCAACAGGGCCGCCGGTTCGATTCCCACATGGGCCAGTGACGCTGCACCCGAGCTGAGCTGCCAACAGGTGGTAGGATGGCTCAGCTGGTGAGAGAGTATGTGCTCCTAACAAGACTGCCTGTTTGATGGCGGGCTATGCCCGCCCACAACTAACACTGAACTGGGCACCTTGAGCTGAGCTGCCACCTTGATGGCTCAGTGGATAGAGCGTGTGCTCTTAACAACAAGGCTGCTGGTTTTACTCCTGCATGGGAGGGTGGCTACGCCCACCCACTACTAAGACTGAACACAGCACCTAGAGTTTAAAGGCCACGAGCTGCTGAAGGGCAGCCAGATGGCAACTGGCGCCCTCCACAACTAAGATTGAAGAACAACTTGGCTGGTCCCCTTTCCTAATTCCCCAACACTGTTCCCCTCCCCCAATTCCCCAATTTAAAAAAAAAAAGAGCAAAGCTGGAGGCTCCCTGATATCACACGATATTACAAAGCTACAGTAATCAAAACAGCATGGTACTGGTATAAATGCAGATGCATAGATCAATGGAACAGAATAGAGCCCAGAAATAAATCCATGCACATATGGTCAACCAACTTATGACAAGGGAGCCAATATACAACAGGGAAAGGACAGTCTCTTCCATAAATGGTGTTGGGGAAACTGGAGAGCCACATGCAAAAGAATGAAACTGGAACATAAACTCAAATTGGATGAAAGACTAAATATAAGACAAGAAACCATAAGCCCCCTAGAAGAAAACACGGTGATAAAGTCCCTGACATTGGTCTTGGCAATGATTTCTTTGATCTGACTCCAAAGGCAAGGGCAACAGAAGCAAAAATAAATAAATGGAACTTTATCAAACTAAAAAGCTTCTGCACAACAAAGGAAACCATCAACAAAATGAAAAAGCAAATACCGAATGGGAGAAGATAGTTGCAAATCACACACCTAATAAGGGGTTAATATCCAAAATACATAAAGCACTAATATAACTCAATAACAAAAAACAAACAACCCATCAACAAATGGGCAAAGGACCTGAATAGACATTTTTCCAAAAAAAGACATACAGATGGCCAATAAGTACATGGAAAGAGGCTCAATGTCACTAATAATCGGGGAAATACAAATCAAAACCACACCTATAAGAATGGCTATTACCAAAAGGCAAGAAATAACAAGTGTTGGTGGGGATGTGGAGAAAAGGGAACCGTTGTGCACTGTTGGTGGGATTGTAAATTGGTGTAGCCACCATGGAAAATAGTATGAAAATTAAAAATAGAACTACCATATGATCCAACAACCCCACTTCTGGGTATTCATCTGAAAAAAAAAAGAAACACAGTAATTTGAAGAGATATATGCACCCCTAAGTTCACTATAGCATTATTTACAATAGCAAAGATATGAAAACAACCTAAATGTCCATTGATGGATGAACAAAAGAGGAAATAAGACCTAACTGGAAAATAAGCCCTAGCATGACTTTTCAGGAGCTCGTAACATAAACCCTTCCCCAAACATAAGCTCCAGTTAAGATCATCAGCCAGACATGACTGTTTGAATAAATGGAGATTTTTGTACATGAATAAATGAATAAGTGTAGATTGTTGGAGCAAAATTAATTAATATAAGACCAAGTCTTATTTTCGGGGAAACACAGTATACACAGTATATGTGGAATACTACTCAGCCAATAAAAAGAATGAAATCTTGCCATTTGTGACAACACAGGTGGACCTTGAAGGTGTTATGCTAAGTGAAATAAGTAAGACAGAGAAAGATAAATACTGCGTGATTTCCCATATATTAATATGTGGACTCTAAAAAAACAAAAGAAATGAACAAACAATATGAGACAAGTCACAGATACAGAGAACAGACTGATGTTTGTCAGAGGGGAGAGGGATTAAGTGGTGGGCACAACTGGGTGAAGGGTCAATCATATGTTGACAGATGTTAACTAGACTCATATTAGTGATCACTTTTTCGTGTATACAAATATTGAATTATTAAAGTTGTATACCTGAAAGTAATATAATGTTATATGCCAATTTTACCTCAATTAAAAAAAAAGACAAAGAACATCAGAAAACTTTCAAAGGGAATTAAATAATTGTCATATTTCAAGAGATCATGTAAGTATAAGCCACTGTCTCATAAGGAAGCTGATTCATTTTTCACAAATAAATATTATTATTCTCTAAAGAAAATGATTCCTGGTGCATAGATTTTTGTTTTCTTTTTGACCAACATAAAACCTGTGATGAGTTATTTTTTAGCATAAACAATTTTTTTTTTCTTTTTGAAGATTTTATTGGGGAATTGGGGGAGGGGAACAGCGTTGGGGAATCGGGGAAGGGGAACAGACAAGTTGCTGTCGTTTTTGTTCTTCAGTCTAGTTGTGGAGGACGTTGCATCACTGGCCCAAGTTGGCACCATCATTGCGCTCTTCCTGGGCAAGGCAGATCAGTCGCCGGCTTCTGGACGGCCGCTCACTGCAGCTGCTGGCTACACATGGAAGCCCCTGGCAACCCACTGCAGCAGGGGCTGCAGCCTACGCCGTCACCGGCAACTCATGGCAGCCCAGCTCCAGGTCGAGCTGTTGTTCACCATTTTAGCTGTAGAGGGCAGTGTCACTGGCCCTCATGTGGGATCCGAACCGGGGCCCTGCTGCTCAGAGCCGGCGTCCCAAGCCAGCTCTTAATCAATGTGCTACTCGGCTGGCCCAACATAAACAATTTTTTTAAGCTTCAACTAAAATCTCAAATTATGCTGGTCATATCAAAGGCAGGAATTTTGGCTCTCATCCAGAGGAATGTTACAAGCAGTATAATATCAGCACCAAATCATGGCAAGAATAATTTAAAGCACAAATAGTAACCTTATATTACTAACTGGATCTGTTAAAAAATACTAACAACTTTTACGCCAGTAAGAGCTGAAATTAATAGTTTACCTGACTGCAATATAAACTACTAATTAAGGACAAGAAGGAAGTGAAGAAACACATTTTGATTGATGAATTATACCTATCCTTATTTCTCTTTAATCATTTAATGAAAACACCAAAATCAAAGAAAAAATTGCTCTGTTTCTTCCCTTTTATTTTGGGCTTGACAGAACGCTTATATACAATGCTGACGCACATCATCCAAAACCATCCCAAGAAAAGAAAAAAAAGTTACATCAACTTTAATGAATGCTATCATTTTTCTTTTTTAAACTTCTAAGGACTCAACTGTTACTCCAGACACACAAAGTTTTCCAAATACAGTCAAGGATAAAGTTCCATTGCCTGAAGCTCAACAGTTTAATTAAGAGGGAGAGGGAAGTGTGCCACAGAACCATGGTAGGGCGCTGGGGGTGGGGCTCCACCAAGACAAAGGGTGAGGAGGCATTTTCTTTGGAATCTGATTTAAATAAAAGTTTCCACCATATTATACAATTTTTCCCTCTCAGTCACTTCACCCAGACTCAATTCTGGAAACTTTCTGAGGTATTTTGGTGACAAAATCAAATAAATAGCTCAACATGCCCTATCACAGGCCACGTACATATGGTACTATTTTCCCCTCCAAACTGTTTTCTTGTTTTGGAAATAATTCTCTTAGACTATTCAACATATGCTAGAAACCGTCTGATAACCCTGCAAAAGTTAAGAGCCAAGGTAAGGCTTAGCCTCAAACTTGTATATAATTAAATTGCAGGAACTGATAAATTTATAGAGTTTAGAAAAGAAGATTTCGACAGACCCAGATCCTCTGTTCTTGCAATGTTCTGACTACCTGGGTATTATACTCAAATGGGGAAAACCAAAAACATTTATGAGACATTTATTTAGATTGCCATACTTTGTAGAAATCAAACTGATTGAGGGTATTAGAGGAAGAACTTTTAACACAGGATTTTTGGTTGGGCTTTAGGAATACCCTGAAAAAAATTAAACAAATGATCAAATACAGCTTTGAGGGAGAGATTCCACAGCTTTCATCAGAATCCATAACTTTCATCAGAAACAGTTTTAATGACAAAAGAAAAAAAAAGGTTTAAAAATACTGCATCCCAATTTTAATGTAAAACTTTACCTTTATTATGTAAAAGCGCTTGTCTTGACAATGCCTTATATCTTTCATATTACAGAATTAATTACTCAGTTGAGACGAACTTATATAAGATAGTGACCTTATAAGATCATTAGCAAGATCTAAGCATTTTCCTAAACACAAAACAAAAAGGATACATACCTTTTTTCCAAGTCTCTTATTTTCTCTCTCAGTGGTTCAACAATCTAAAACAAAAATGACCAATACCAGTTTTAATACAAAAACACAGTCCTCCTTCACCCCTCTCTGATGTTGCAGATAGGTATGACATAAAGCCAAATAGACTTTAATTTCTCCTACAACTCACTTCCAGTTTGAAATTAAGTTGTGTGACTTCAATCACAATTCTAGAATCGAGGTGAAAAATTGCACATTGTGACCCTCTCCACACGACCAAGTCTCTGAGAAAATTAACCTTTTTACTTTCCTACCTTTCTGTGAGCTATATTAAAGGTCGTTCAGGCTCATAAAAATAGGCAGATCAACACCACTGGTATCTTTTCAGGAATTAAAAGAATCCCCTAATTGCTTGCCCACAGAACTTAACATCTTGTTTCCGCACGTTGTCTCCATGTCATCAGCTCCAGCACAGAAATCGCAGGCTGGGAGTCGCCCTCTCCATGTGTGTTAAGACAGTTAAGTGCCGACAGGGTGACAAGTGCAACCCAAAGGCTTCCCTACGACTCCAGCATCTGGCTTCAAACCCAAATGAGTAACTCCTCATTCCCTCCCAAGCCCATGTTACAACAGTCTAGACATGACTACAGTTATTTGACTAAAATCTAAGCCATTATTTTAAAATAAAAGTGTATAGCCAATGGGAGGAGCTAGCTTTCAGTGAGGCAGGTGTGTGCCTTCCCCAGCTGTGCATATGAACACTCTTTACGTCCCCGAGTCCTAGCACCTGAGTTGGGCGCTTTTCCTTTTAGCACCTACTCAGGTGAGTAGATGCTGGCGCTTGCCTCCATCCCTGGTATAAAGGTAATCGCTTCGCTTTCTCTAAGAAATTCTGGAAAGACTCACCTGAAAAATCACCTACAGGTTTAAATCCACTTTGCCTTTAAGGGAGAATTTGTTTTACTACTACATAACCCTTATAAAATGGACAAAGGCCGACACAGAGATGCATCTAAGTAATCTCATTTTACGTTACACTCAACATGAAATTTAAAACAAACGGAAAGTCTCACATTAAATAAGGGAATACATTTTTGAGATATGGTTTCAAAATCATAGATCAGCATCAAGCTGCCACAATAAAGACACATATATAGAAAAAACAGAAGCAAGATATGGACAAGAAACTAACCTCTTCAATCTTCCTTTCGATTTTTAGTTCGCCATTTTCCTGGATAGACCTGTTGAGGAGAAAGCTACAAAGCTGAGATCAGTTGAAAGGCTTTATGACTTCAGGAGTTTTTCCTGAACAAATTTCCACAACACAAACCAAAGGCTGCATGCAGGCCATCTCCCACCCCCCTTCCCAAGCCTAGTCCTGTGTGCCACTTCCCTCCAGCAGGGGGTGCACCAGGAGAAAACGGGGCAACAGGAGAGGGAGTCCATCACCTCAGGCTCACTGCCACCTTACGTGAGGTTTCTGTTACTTAGAGCAATCTCACTTTTATGTTACACCCATTGTGGGCTTGCAAATCAGAGGCAGGAAGTATCTATCTATAGGGGTACAAGTCGGACTGCTGGGCTTTCCTGGGGATTTGATACAAAATGGAGTTTTTCCAAGTGGAAAAACAGTGCTCCTTTAAATGGGATCAGAGCACCGCACCCAGCCACACACAGAAGCCTTTGTCAGGAGACACACAGGAGCCCTGGTGGTAGGGTTGGGAGGGACAACACCCCACTCACCCTGCAAAACCAACGCAATATGCAAAGCCTGCTGGGAGCACAGCAGCCCTTTACCCTTGCAGCCTCAAACGGCAGCACTGAGCTTCCAAATCCAACTCAATCACTATAAACGTGACTGCTATTCTTTTATTTTTACTAACAAGAAACACGAAGTGAATTTTTCTTTCAATTAAAACTGTGCTAACAGTACTAACAGCACCAAATTAGTTTTTACAATAAATACTTATTACTTTTTGCTGAATTTTTTTTAGACTATTAACATAAGTATTTTATTTTATAAGCATCCCTCCTGCCCTAACAGGCAGCACAAATAATGCACTCAGGCAAGAGGGGTCCTAGGGATAGAGAGGGGCCTCGGCACCCACTGGGTCTGCTCCCTGGGGCCAGACGCCAGCTGCATTCCTAGAAAACAGCTACAGGAGCAGAGACGCAGCCCAGCTGTGTGAGCAGCAAAACACTCAGTTTCACTTTAAAATATTCTTCAATTAACCCATGACATCAATGGTGTGTATGTAACAACTGAAATGTGTCCATAAAACCCAACCACAATATCCAAATTATTAAAAACAATTACCTCATATTAACGAAATTGCCCCAAACAGCTGGAAGGGAAAGAAGAAACAAAGTCAATATTTAAGTTCATGACATTCAGCTAATTTTTAAAGAATTTTAAGGATTTCAACTAATACAATTTTAATTTTTAACCAATGTTTTAAAGTACACTAAGAAAACCAAGTTATAGTTCATGAAGACAATAAAATGCATACTTTTAAAGTATGAAGTCCTACTAAACAATAAGTAAAACATGATCCCATAGATCCCTTTAATTTTGGAATATCTCTTTTGAGGTTTGGAGTTCAATTATGTATGTGTTTTGATGAACAGCATGTCCCCGACCTTTATCTGAGGAGGAGCCAGTCACAAGAATCAATAACCTACATGCCTGAAAGAGATCCTAGAGGTCAGTCCAACCTCTTCCTTTAAGTGTGGAAGGAGCCAAAACCAGAGAAGTTCAATAGTGTGGCCTGACGCTGTGGCGTAACTTCAGCAGGAAGGCCATATAGTACAGTGTCGTGTTGCTGGTCTGCCTCCTTGATGACAGACACCTGGAGGGCAGGTGGTCACGTGTACAGCTGGCTGGCATTCAATAAATGTGCATAAATCAGCCCGGAAAGAACAGTGAGACTTTGCCGTGGATGACTAAAAACCCAGTACAGAACCAGGAGCAGCCATTCTGTCTCACTGAGCAGAGGATTGCTTCATAGAGAAACTTTCACCGAGAATGAGCAAACCTACTGTTTTGTACACATTCCTATTCAGCCCTTGTGTGGTCACTCCCCAAATGCTGAGCTCCCAAGGGCAGGTGCTCGGAGGTGCTTCAGGGTGCTTGGGAAAGGAGAGTAAATACAGACACCCTCCCCATCCCGGGGCTGCTGATTTTGTGAATTTGGGAAGGCCTTGAGGTGAGAGCTACTCCTAGGCATCTTCTCATTGCCATTCTCTGGTACACAGCAGGGCTTTAATGAATGCTTACTGAATAGGACTCAGTGTCCCAAATTACGCCCTCAGCAAGAAATTCCCACTGTTACAAAGGGACATGTTAATTCCATAAAAGCATATCCTTCTTCAAATAGGGGAGGAAACTATGATAGAAAAAGAGCAATAAAATAACTGAATAAAAGTGGCAAGTGAGCAAGAAACGGGAGAAATTACAATACAGTTGTACTATATTCATTATTCATGAGAAGAATTTATACCTTAGGACCATGTGATTGTCTTTTCAGTGTCATCCTCAGGAAATAAGCATATCTACAGGAAAGGTGCCTTCAGAAATCATGGCCTTATTTAAAATTAAAGAATAAAAGGCTGCCAAATAAACCAAAATATCTGACGATTTGGGAGCTGCTATATAAATTATGACACAGCCATTCAATGAAATGAGAAAACCATTAAATAGGACTATGAAACTATGTTGTAACCTGAGAATGTAGCTATGACAGCTCCTGATAAAAAAAATACATATGCAGTATGACTTCTGCTACTAAAAAATACACAGAAAAAAAAAAAGACTGTAAAGATGCCAAAATATAGTTTAAATGGTGGCATAATTGTTTATTTATTTATTTTTATGTCTACATGCTTAACTTGCTTTTTAAAAAGGAGGGGAAAAATTTTAAACCCTTGCTAAACTCCTGTTCTTCATCTTTTCCAAGACAACTTGTGAACAAGTGAGTCAATCCTCAGCTCACACACGAAAGCAACACCCCAAAGAGCAGTGACCAGCCAGGGGCTGCCAAGCCCAGTGGGTACTTTACTATGTATCTCAAATAAACACACTGTCTCATTTTGGCTTTAGGATTTTGCTGTTTGTCAAAATAAGCCAGGAGGCGGTCCCTCTCTTTCTGCGTTGTAATGGTGAATGGTGCACGAGGGGAATTATCCATTCTGTAAGCTGCCTTCTGAGAGGTGAGTGTCTTTTGACAACCTTTTCAAATCACTCTATGGTTAGTTTATTTTTATTTTTTTTCCTTTTTAATCTTTTCTTGAGTCCGTTTAAAATGTCTATTTCAGAGACATTTCTCAATCTTTCTATCATCACTTAAAGCACTTCAGAGCACAGAAGGCTGCCTCTCCCTTTCTGCCTCCTCTCCTTGAAAATAAGACACCAGGGTCTCCGGGGGCTTCCTCCCTCTCCCATTGATCCGGGTGAAGCATCTCTCCCCTGGGGACAACGGGGCCCTGGGATCTGCTGGGGAATGACACTGAGCCAGACCCTCACCAGTCTTTATGAACAGATAACAGTGGACAGAAGCAGATAAGGCCACCATCTATTCCTGTGGTTCAGGCCTCCTTGGCTGACCCCTGCACCTGGAAAGGCACCCTTCTCCCAGCAGCCCGCTCCTGCCGGCTGACCCCAGAACTTCAGGAGCCCCTTTTCCTCACCGATTGCCCCCTCCAGGTAGACCCCTCCACGGGACTCTCCTGCCCTAAACCACAGGCCACCCCACCCCTTTAGCTCTGTCTGCAGGTGGTCTCCTGTGCCAAAAATGCACTCACCTCACCTGAGTGAGCACTCGCCCTCCCTCCCTGCTCGAGGGCACACTGTGGCGGGCAGGGGGGTGTTGCCACAGGCCCCCCTCCACACTTCCTTTTAAATTGTGGTTTACAGGCGGCCTCCCTAAAAGATCAAGTGTCTCCTATTCGCATTTGCAACACCAAGCACAGGAGGGCCCAGCACCAAAATCAGGTGAATGGAAGTCAAGAAATGTTTGCACTTTCTTCCATGTATCCCTCGCTTAGTACTTTCTATCTTCAGAAGTGTTATTACCAAGTAATCTTTAAAATGTTGTTATGTCAAGTGTTATGGCTTCCTCTTAAATTCTGAAAAGCTTCACCTGCCTGGCTTTGGAGAGTGACAAGGACACAGCACACAGCCCAGACAGGCCGGAAAAAAGCCCCTGCATTATTGCAGACTCATTTCACCGGGAAGCACAAGCAATTCCCCACAATTAAGGAACCCTGGTCCTGGTGCTTTGTGCAGACTGGCCTGTAATGTTGCAGGTTAAACATTATGTAAAATTAATGTTGCTTTTACAATTTTGCCACCTGCTAAAGTTAGCGTGATCCACTTTACATTGTCTCAAAGGGACAGCTGGGGATTACTAACAGGTGTACTCAATAAATACTGGAACTAAACTGAACTAAATTAAATTTATTATGTGTGATGCAAAGTCTCAATATTAAGGAAAGTACAAATGAAAAAAAGATAATCTTTCACCATTATTGACAAAGGCCTTAAAACCAAATTCCCTTATAGTTTTCAAGAAATTTTAAATAATTCTAATTTTAATATAAATGTTTAACATACTTTGCATGCAAACTGAGACACACAGTTTTACAATTCTCATTATGTCTGTATCTATACTAGATTTCATGCTATGCTGGGAAACCCATATCAAGAAAATCTATCACATAGAAATTGCCATGTAGGGCAAAAAATTGAGTTACTTTTAAGGGTATGAATAAAACTGTTTTTTTCCAACTAAGAAAAAATTAAAATGCTAACCCAACATTTTTTTTATCTGTATTAATCTAACTTAGTTTCTTAAATATTAATCAGCTATCACTTGAGATGAATCCTTTTAGCACAATTTCTCAGTCAGAAATCTATGGATCTCCATGGATTCAGGGATGAGTTTCAAGGAGTCTGGGGACGGGTGGTCCTTAAATGTTCACGCAAAACTCTAGTCCATAGCTTTCAAAAAATCCTCCACAGAGTTCCAAGACCCCAAACAATCGAAGACCCACCAATTCTGAGTCCAAAAAGCTTGGAATTTTAGGAGGCACATTAGTTTTAGAACAGAGACTAATTCCTCCTTGAACGCTAGGCCCCAAAGAATGCGCAGATTCTCTCCCAGGACTCCTGTTACCCTATTTTAAGTACTGTCATAACCAGTCAAAACTACCGTTTCCATTTCCCGCCGGTACATTTTAAATG